AGCCACACCCAGAGAGTTGGTATGTCTCATAGGACTAGGAGTCCCTGAGGTTCTCCCCAACCCTCCAGAGCCAGCACAGTGACACTGGAGTTAGTGGTTTCTTTGCTAAAAGGAAGGGCTGGTGAGATAGGGAAATGCAGCAGATGGAAGAAAGCTTTATGCAGAGGGCACCAAGCACAACCCCATCTATTGACGGAAGGAGGGGACACAAGAGGAAGGTGTTAGAATGGCTCTCTGTTCTGCTATGTACTTCCTGAAAGTTTTAGACTGTGGCCATCCCCCAGCCTGCTACATGAGACCTCTACTGTCATCCAGAAGCTGCTGCTCTCCGCCTTTCACCTACAGGTCTCTGATTACCTGATACAGGGCATGGAAGCCCACCCCAGTGTAAGGTGTCTAAAAATGAAATAGGGCAACTGTGGAAAGGGATAGTCCCTGCTCCACACACCCCTACCCCACCCCCAACCTAAGCTTGGGGGTCTCCAGTGGATGTTTGGACTCCAGAAGAAATTAAACACCTCCCTAGATGTTGGAATATGATTTTTAAAAAAGAAAAAAAAACTTCATTGCTATGGAGTCAGTCCTGACTCACAGTGACCCTGACCCCTCTTTGGGTTCCCAAGGCGGTATCACTACAGAAGGAGATTGTCCACTCTTCCTTCTGAGGAATGGTTGGTAGGTTTGAATCGCCAGCCTTCTGGTTAGCAGTCAAATGCCTTAGGCACTACGCCACCAGAGCTCCTGGAATCTGTTAAGGGCTGCGGAAAATTTCCGCACCAGAAAAATCCAGGTGCCCTATGCTGAGCCATTCCCCATGTGTGACAGCAGGTGGCAGCACAAACCAAAAAAACTCAACTGCCATTTCGTCAATTCTGATTCTTAAGAGACCCTATAAGACAGAGTAGAACTGCCCCGTAGGGTTTCCAAGGCTGTAAATCTTTACAGAAGCAGACTGCTACATCTTTTCTCCCATTGAGCCGCTGGTGGGTTCAAACCACAGACCTTTTGTTTAGCAGCCAAGCGCTTTAAGCACTGCTCCACCAGAGGTCCTGCCAGCACCAACAGGAACGTCAAAAAGAAAACCAAACTCCTGAAAGTTGGTTTATGCGTAGTGCCTAAGGCTTTTAACTGCTAAGCAGAAGGTTGGCGATTCAAACCCACCAGCCACTCCGTGGAAGTAAGACTGGGCAATCTACCTCCGTAAAAATTTACCGCCTTGAAAACCAATGGGGGTCGCTATGAGTTGGAATCCACTCGATGGCAGTGAGTTTGGTTTTTGTTTGGTTTTACTTCCTCCCAGCACGCCCTCCACTTTTCCTCCTTCTTTCCCTCTTGTTAAAACTTTGAGGTCTGTCCCCTATCCCTAAAACAAACCAGCCAATCTGTGGCTGTTGAGTCAATTCCAACTCATAGCGACCCCATGTGCGTCAGAGTAGCACTGTGCTAAGGAGCACAGTTTTTAATGGCTGTAATGGGTTTTTAATGGTTGTAATCTTACAGAAGTAGATTGCCAGCCCTTTCTTCCTTAGCACCACTAGAGGAATTTCAATGGCCAACTCCTCCTCAGTTAATGCAAAACAGGTATCAATAGTGCATGGCCTCAGAAGCAGACTTACCAAGTATGAGTGAGAACTGGAGGTGAGGGGAGAGTGGAGACAGTAAGATATCAATTTATATTTAAACAAGTACATTTATTCCTGGTGGTAACTGAAGCCCCTGCCTTTGCTCACCCAGCTCCTCAAGACTGAAAGGATCTGTGTCTGGCCAAAATTTCTATCCTGGGAAAGAAACCTCCTTCTTCGTTAATTATATGGATTAAAGATGCCCTCAGAGCCAGGATCTAGCATCATTTTCTCATGATTTCATCATGATCTCATCCTTCTAACCTTGTCTGGCTTAGAAAAGACCATTTGGTGACAGTTATAATCTAAAATACATTTATTTCTTAGGTGTTACAATGAATCAATAACATTGCAGAAATTTTACTAAATATAGAAACATTTTTTAAATCATCCATAGCTCTACACACTAAGACCATCACAGTTATTTTAGATTCTTCTCACGGATGTTACCTACATTTGTGAACATCATGTACACACAATTTTGTAGCATGTTTCATTTTCTTAGCATCCTAGAATCTCAGTCTCCTTACCTGTGTTTGGGGGCCTAAACATTGAGTAGATATGGCTTTTGTCCTTTAGGGGATCACATTTGGGGAAGGAGAAGGGAGTCAAGATAAAAAGTTGAAGCATTAGAATAAAGTGACCAACTGTCACAGTTTGCCTGGGACTATCCTAGTTTTAATGCTGAAAGTCTTGCATCCCAGGAAACTCCAGTCCAGGACAAATCTGGATTGATATGTCACCCTGTTAGAAACAAGCCTCCCACAAAATTAAACCATTTAGATTTCAGATTTCCATTTTAACATATATATTGGCCTTTTAGCTATACCTCTTTGTCTTTTTTTTTTTTTTTTTTGGAGGATCACCTAACTTCACCTTGTAACACTTTTATTGGGCTTTTGTCTTTTTTTTTTTTTTTTTTTTTTTGAGTATACAGCTGTTTTTAAGCTATATGTACTCTTAAAAATTATTGAGAACTCCAAGGAGTTTTTGTTTATGGGAGTTTGTCTATTAATATTCACGGTATTAGTGTTGTTGTTATGTACGGTCGAGTCAGACCCAACTCATAGCGACCCCTTCTTGGGTTTCCTAGGCAGTATCACTACAGAAGTAGATTGCCCCATCTTCCTTCCGAGAAGTGGCTGGTGGGTTTGAACCGCCAGCCTTCTGGTCAGCAATCAAGTTCCTTAGGCACTATGCTATTAGAGCTCCTCACAGTATTAGAGTTAGAATTAAAAATGAGAAAAAGTTCAGATACGAGATATGCAGGCACATATCCCATTAGTCATCAGAGACGTAGTCTCTGGTAGCATCAGTGTTTACTTGTGAGAAAAGGAGAGTAAAAACAGTAAGTAATCTTAGTATTATAATGGAAATAATTTTTTACCTCACAGACTCCCTGAAAGGATCTCAAGGACCTCCAAGACTTCCCAGGCCACACATTGAGAACCACAGCTCTGTGGAGAACTACTGCCCTAGGAATTTCGGTATCCATCCTGTATTTCAGCCTTCTTAGAGGTAGTATAGTACAAGCCAAACCCATGTTGTCAAATCAATTCATTCCAACTCACGGCGACCCCATGTGTTACAGAAGACTGTTTCATAGGGTTTTCTAATCTTTGCAGAAGCAAATCTCCAGGACTTTCTTCCACAGCACTGCAGGGTGGGTATGCACAGCCAACTTCCAACTTAACAGATAAGCACAAACCATTTGTGCTGTCCAGGGACCTCCACTTCATGTAAAATGAAGGAAACGTGTAACTGCATGAGTCGCTTTAACACCACCTCATCCTTTTTGCCATGGTTTCCATCTACACGTGTTATTAACTCCACAATACAATATGATAACTTTTGCTTTAAACAGTTACATGTATCTTAAGGAAATTAAAAAGCAATAATATATTTTCTGTTTAGCTATAGATTTACATTTCTCTTTATCTCCCCTGGTAGCTCTGCTCTTCCGTCCGCTTTCATGTCCCTTCAGCCTGAAAAACTTCCATTAACACTTCTCATAGGGCAGGTCTGCTGATGACTAATTCTCTTAATGTTCTTTTATCTGGGAATAGCTTTATTTCATCTTCATTCCTGAAGAATACTTTCACAAGAAAAGCAAGTCTGGCTTGAAACTCTTCTTTTTTTCTCCCAGCATTTTAAAGATGCCATTCCAGTGTCTTCTGGCCTGCATTGTTTCTGATGATTAAACAGTGACATGAACTGTTATTCTCTGTATGCTATGTGTCCTTTCTCTCCAGCTGCTTTCAAGATTTTCTCTTTACCTTTGGTTTTTAAAAGTTTGTGATGTGTCATGGTGTGCTTTTTCATATTTTTTATGTTCAATTCCACCTTGGGTTTACTGAGCTTCCAGAATCTGAAAATGTTGGGAATCTAAGTTGGGAAATTTTCAGTCATATTTCATCAAATATTTTTTCCTGCCACGTTCTCTCTATCCTCTTCTCCCGGACTTCAAGAACACATATATTAGAGGTTTTTCTATTGTCCCACAGGTCCCTGAGTTTTATTCTACCTCCCACCCCCAATTGGATAATTTATTTTCATCAATCTTTAAGTTCACTGGCTCTTTATTCTGCCTTCTCTACTGTTCTATTACACCCATCCAGAGAGTTTATTATTATTATTATTTCATGTATTGTATGTTTCAGGAGCTCTAGTGGCATAATGCCTAAGGCACTTGACTGCTAACCAGAAGGCTGGCGGTTCAAACCCACCAGCCACTCCTCAGAAGGAATGTTGGGCAATCCTACTTCCGTAGTGATACTGCCTCGGAAACCCAAGGAGGGGTCGCTATGAGTCGGGGCCGACTCGACGGCACATAACAGCAACAACAGCAACTAAGGGCTCCAAAGAATCTCTTGAAAGAGGTGGACTAAGGAGCCCTGGAGTGGGTGAGAAGCCATTCTAGGCACATGGCCACCTCTGTGGTCATCAAAATAGAGAAATAAAGGGTGAGTAGAACTATTTGAGGAGCTCTGGTGGCATAGTGCCTAAGGCATTTGACTGCTAACCAGAAGGCTGGCAGTTCAAACCCACCAGTCCTCCTCAGAAGGAAGACTGGACAATCTACTTCCGTAGAGATACCGCCTCGGAGTTATGACTTCTGAGCCCCAGAGGTGTGCAGGCTTTCTAGAGGGGGCTAGAGTCTACCCAGGATGTGACCTTGCGACTGCCTATGATGCAGAATTCACCCTACACCTACCTGCCCCTCACTCCTCCCCTCTCCTTGCAGATCACAGCCAGTGGGACTGCTCCAACTGGTTCTATGGGCAGCAGGGATCCCCACTGGGTAGCTCCCTCACCCCCTACCCCATCAGAGGGAGTTTTTGTCCTCAGGAAGAAGTTTGCAACTGACCTTCTGCATAGATGCCTCCTCAGAAGACAGGACCACCCCCCTCCACAAGGGGTTACTGGCCCTCTACCAACCCATGGGTGAGTGTCCCTCTTGAAGGTGCAGGGAAGGCAATCTCTTCCCTCAGCCACACCCCCTGCCCCAGGTAACTGAGTAAAGGAGCTAGAGTGACAACTGAGGCTGGGGACTAAGGGCCCTCTGGGCCTGACCCCGGCTCTGCCCAGCCCTGACCCTGCTGGATGAACAACCCCCAGGAGCCATGGGCAGGATTCAAAAGACTATGTACGTGAATGCCCTCCACCCTGCTCGGTGAGGAGAAAGAGGGAAGAAGGAGCTCCAGTTCATGGGTCACAAACTCCAAATTTTACAGAGAAAAAATTTTCTACAAGATGCAGGCAGGTGACATAAATAAATGGAGAGGGTGGGGTGGAGAGGTATGGCCCCATTAAAGGGGCAGCCATCATTCATGAGGAACTATCCTGCTATATGAAGTTCATGCACATGATAAAAATTATTTAAAGGTATGAAAAGGTCAAGAGGCAGTGTCCTATCACCCCTGATCTCAGAGAACCTGGATGATTTTGGAAATGTTGTTCCTCTGAATTGTAGTGGATAAGCTATTCTTGAGTTAGACAGCAGGTGGCACCCAAACCAGAGAGTTAGAAAAAGGGAACTCGGTTACTTAACTCATTTCCAGTAACTTCTCCCTCCTCCCCCACAGGGCCTTCTCCAGCCCCACCTCCTGTGCCCTGGCTGGGGCCAAGTCCTCTCACAGGTCACAGATCCCCCATCCCATAGTGGGGAAACTATCTCTGGAAGAACCCCCACCCCACAAGCTGCCCAGGCAAGATGTGAGTGTGCTTTGTGGAGAGGCCTGAGGGAGGAGGAAGAAAAGGGTAGGAACAGAGGAGGGTGGGAGGAACACATACACACACACACACACACACACACACACACACACTTTTTGAAGCTTGCTGTAGAGTACAGCAGCCTTCCCTGGGGTGGTCAGGAGGAGGAGCAAAACTCGGAGCCAGGAAACTAATATATTAAATGGTCCTCACTTTTACCATGATTGCTCCCTCAGATCCCAGGGTAGGGGTGGGATTTGCTGAAGCAGAGAGCAGCCCACTACTCTGGGTGAGACCCACCACAGAGATGAACAACAATAAGGTCTTCAGAGGGTGGAAAATTGGCAGACCTAGAGTTCAGGCTGAGTAGGAGGCTGAAATATTAGGATAAGAGAAAGGCAATAAAGGCCTAGAGGGAGGAGGTTCCCAGGCCTTAAGAGCTGAGACCACAGCTGGTGACCCTGCCTTTGCCAGGGTTCAATCCCTTAGCATCACCTGTCCGACTCCTGGTATGTCACAGGCTCCAGACTGTAATCATGTGGCTTCATTCTGCCCTCACCCGCTCATAGGTGGTGGCTGCTCCTCTGCGGAATCCTCCAGACTTGCCCCACACAGGGCTCTGTCCTCTTGGCCCAACGGCTACCCCAGAAGCTGACATCCCCTGGGTACCCGAAGCCATATCTCAAAGGCCAAGTGAGCACCACTGACATCGAGGCTCCAGAGGGCTTTGTTGTGAGGCTCATCTTCCAGGATTTCGACCTGGAGCCATCCCAGGACTGTGAACAAGACTCTGTCACAGTGAGCTGGAGGGGGGGCCCTGGAGGGATGCTGAGAAGGGAGCCCCTGGGTCTGGAGCCTCCCAGGGGTGGTGGTAGGTGGTTTTGCCCAGACCACAAGGGAGGAAGCAAAGAAAGTAGAGGAAGTGCCCAAGTCAAGGGCGCTGGGTCCAACGCACAACCTTCCACCATCGTCTCTGTGGTAGCCAACATCTAGACACACCATGGAGCAAAGGAGAGAAAGGCAGGACAATCCCTGCCTTCTGAACTTACAAAGGGACACACAAACATTCCAAATGCATAGAGTGAAAGGGCAGAAACTCAACATCAGTTATTAAAAGTGTATCATCAAATATTTGTTGAGTGCCTGCTCTATCGGGTTAGGAAGCCAGGCACAGAAAGATTAGGTAACCATTCAAGTTTCCTCACAGGAGCTCTTATAATATAAGACTTCTCATGAAAGGGCATTATTCAGAATAAGGATATTTTAAAGCAATAGTCTTCCAGCCTTCCCTGCCTACACCTGATTGCTACTCCCAAGGGGCAGTCAGTTATAATTCATGTAGCTATTTCAACTAGTACTTTACCTTTATATATATAAATAACATACTTATTATTAGTCTTTATTTTTCATTTTCAGATATTATCTACTAATTTCCAACTATAGAAGATGACTAGTTTTAGCTCTCTGATCTAAGGACCATATTTCCTCTCCTCCATCTACCCAATTCATTTCTATCAGAATGTTGGTTAAATCTACATTCGTTGTTTACATTATTATGACCGTAAAACAGTCACAACAAATATTGCATACAGTGTGCGATCATTATTTATCTTTTCTTCTTCAATTTTTTATTTTCCCAGGAGTCAATAATTATACAGAGTTCTTTGGGGGTTTTTTGGTTTTGGTTTTGGTTTGACTTTTAGTTTGCTTAGTTTTCCCTGTAACTAATTAATCTCCCCAAGCCCTTAGTCTGGAGTATAACTCTCCTGCCAACATATTCGAGTTCAAATCTGAATCTATCAGTCCTTCAGTGACTGAATCTATCAGTCCTTTAGTGAAATCCCATCTGAAGATCTCAGATTCCCTTCTTCAGCCTGAGTTCTTTACTCCCTAAGCCTTCACACACCCTGGGAGTTCCTTTCTGCCTCATTCTGGAGGTTACCTTTACCCATCATGGGTTGGACCTGAATCCTAAATTTATCTTCCCTGGTTTACTCTCAAATTTTGGAGTCCCTGGATGGTGCAGTTAACTGTGCTGCTAAAAGGTTGGAAATTCAAGTCCACAGAGGTGCCTTGGAAGAAAGGCGTGGCAATCTACTTTCAAAAAATCAGACATTGAAAACCTAGGAAAGGATGTCTGCCTTGCATTATGCTCTCTTAGGGTCTATATACTCGAAAATTAGCTAGGAAACGGGGGCAGTGAGTTTATGTTGACAGGAGAGGAACAACTTAGAAAAGGAAGGTGAGAATGGTTGCACAGCTCAAAGGATGTAATCAGGGCCACTGAATTGTACACGGAGAAGCTGTTGAATTGCTGTAGGTTCTGCTGTGTATATTCTCAACAACAAAAGTAAAATAAATTATAAAAATGAACAAAGAAAAGAAAAAACAACAACCAAAAAGAAAGCCCTGTGATTCCCAGTTCCACTCTGACACACATGGGGCCACTGTGAGTCAGAATAGATGCAGTGACAACTGTTTGTTTTGTTTTTGTTTTTGATGAGCACATTCTCCAATAGCTTCCTCAGGAAGAGTATTAAAAAAAAAAAAAAAACCTCACTGTCATCAAGTAGATCCTGACTCATAGTGACTCCCATTGGATTTCCAAGACTGTAAATCTTTACAGAAGCAGGCTGCCTCATCTTTATTTCGCTGACCAGCTGGTAGGTTCGAACCACCAACCTTTTGGTTAGCAGCCAAAGGCCTTAACCACTACACCACCAGAGCTCCTTCAGAAAGAGTATATGGGAGGTAAATATCTTAAATATCCTTACGTGTCTTAATTCTACCCTTCTAGTTGGTGGATAGTTTGTCTAAATACAGCATTCTAGATTGGAAGTATATTCTCTTAGAATTTTGATGATATTGTCTTCTAGTTCTAATATTCAGAATTCTGACTATTAGTTTTTCCTCTCTAGAAACGTTTGGAATCATTTCTTTATTCCCAGTATTCTGAATTTCATTATAATGTGTCTTGATCCAGGTTATTTTTCACTAATTGTTCAGGGCTCTTGTAATCTAGAGCTTTTAATCTTTCAGTTCTGGAAAATTTCTAATTTTTTTAGTCATTTCCAGACTAAAATCTGTATTTTAGTGTATCCTGGATTGATTCTCTAGTTACCTGTCCCGTCTTATTTTCCATCTCCTGGTTTTTTTGTTCCACTTTCTGGGAGATTTCCTCATCTTTAAATCCCAGCCTTTCAATGAATGTTTTATGTTTGCTAACAAATATATTTTTCTATTTCTAAGGGTTCATTCTTATTTTCTAAATGTGCCCTTTTAAGGACTATTCTTCTTGTTTCACACATGTGTATCTTCTCTTTTCCTCTTTGGATATTAATTATACTTAGGAATGTTTTTCAGTGTTTTTTCTGTTCCTTGTATGATCTCTACTTCTTCCGAGTTCCTTTTCCCTTTTTGCTTATTTTTGTGAAACAAGTTGTGGTATTCAGTTTGTGTGTCAACTTGGCTGGGCCTGGTTGAGTGGCTGGGCAGCTGGATGTAGTATTCCCCATGATGAGACTGGTAATCAACTCCATGGTGGAATCTACTGTGAGCAGCTGACTAGCTGCCTTAGGGAATGTGGTCTGCTTCCTGTATATAAGGAAAAGCCTTGGGGAATGGTCTCTAGTTTATAGCATGCTTGGACCCTTCATATAGCTGTGTCGTTGTTCAGCAGCCTGCCATATCCTGCTGACCTTGGGACTTATGATGGACCTAAATTAATGGCCTGCCATCTGGTTTGGTAACATCGGGACTGTGCCTTTTTACTTGTCAACCTTGGCCTTCTCAGCCTCAGCAGCCAGCAGCTGTCTGAGTAAAGAAATGCCTCTAGCTCCAGTGGGCCAGGAGCAAGAGGCAGAGCTGGACCCAGGTTGAGGGGCTTTCACCCAGCTCCTAGAGTCTGGCACTTTGAACTTGGACTTAAAGCCTCCAAACTGTAGGAGAATAAACTCTTGTTTATTAAGGCCATCCTATTTGTGGTATATTCCTGTCAGAGTAGCACTAGGTAACCACAACACAAATCTCTGCTTTTCATGTTAGACACTTTCCTGCAATGTCTGATAATCCTTGGCTGTCTACTCATATTTAAGAGTGAAACACTGAAAAGCTGACTAGAAGCTCTTTGAAGCAGTGATATTGCTAGGGTTGGTGTCACCCTCTCCTCATGGACCTCTTCCCGTAGCAGACCATACAGAATCCTTAGTAATGTTATTATCAATTTCAATCACAGAATAATATGTGATAGATATCATTATAAATTGCTTAAATCTAATCTTTCTTAGATTATATGAATACTAACAACAAAATTGTTTGGTAAAATCTTCCTACACTAAATTACAACATTATTTGTAACTGAGCCAAAGCCTTTTTTTATTTTTATTTTTATTTTCCTTTAATTACTACTTAATTCTGAAAATAATTATTGATAAAGGTTCACAACTCTAATTACCACAATATTGTGCCTGGAACACTAGAAAATTGACAAAGTCAGTGACTATAAAAACACCAGCACCAAAGAAAACAACAGCACATGTCTGTAGTGCATATGGATGAAAACATACGATCCAAAGCATCATTGTAGTTGGATAATAATGACAGCTCTACCCAGAGTGAACTAGAAGGTTCAAAAAGTAAATTAGTATAGAGCTTTAGCCTTGTAGGTATAATGATATATGTAAGCTGGGCTTACAAAAAATGTTTTTGTGGTTATAACTAACTATATTTAGTTAAATATAGGATATTTTCATTTAAAAATAATAAATTTCTGCTGAAATATTACAGAAAAATTTTATAGACAGGCATTCTTGTGTCACTCCTTTTGACAGTGCCACCTGATGCTGTCTGCAGCCTCTCTACCCCCCTAATGACATCACTGTTGTGAGTGGAGCTGAAATGTGTCAGATGATAGGCTTGAAAATAGGGCTATCAACAAAGTGACGTAGATGTGCTACTAGAGACCTCCCAAATGTCAGTATGTAGAAGTATTTTCTTTGGGGGCATCTGGTTTCCACAAAGAGGAAACCTCCAGTCTCCTGCTCAGGGTTGCCACTCTGATAGACAAGCAGAGAAAAGGGCTGGAGATTGGGGGAGTGGGAGAAAGGGTTGCAACTCCCTGCTTGGTATGTAGACTGTCCCTCTGCTTTCAGCACTGGCCTTCACTCCCTCTTCCAAGTGTGCCTGTGACCCCAAGTCCAGGATTCCTGGTTCAAGCTCAGGTCTTCTGCTTAGAGTGGGGCAGAGGACGTTGCCTGAATGCACAGGGTGGGCTTGTCTTATTTGGGGAGAATAAGGAATGAAGAGGAGCTCTGGTAGCATAGTGCCTAAGGCACTTGACTGCTCACCAGAAGGCTGGCAGTTCAAACCCACCAGCCACTACTTCCGTAGTGATACTGCCTCAGAAACCCAAGGAGGGGTCGCTATGAGTCGGGGCTGACTCGATGGCAAACAACAACAACAACAACAAGGAATGAAGAGCCAGGAAGAACACAGGATATATGGATTAATATCAGAGTCACAAATAAATGAGCTGAGCAGTGAACTGTGTGTCTGAAATAGAGATTAATCATGAAGCATGGACCAGGGAACTCCTTCCAAGTTACCCTTCCTTGAGGGCTCAGAACCACAAGAAAGAATTTAAACAGGGCCAGGCAGTCAGAAGGAGATTGAGACAGAGAGCTTTCAAAACTTACCAAGTTAAGCAATTGCCAGTGTGCCATACTGTGTACATTTTGATTCCTGCACATTGTGAGGACTTCATTTACAGTTCACGAGATAAGAGGGGAACACGCCAAAAGAAGGAAAATAAGAAAGGTCAGGAACCCTGGGGGTGCAGGCTTTTCAAGAGAGTCTCCTTGCTTCACAGATGTCGGCCACAGAAAGTTACTTTGAGAAGTGAAAGGTGATGGTGGTGGGGGGAGAGGTGAGAGGGGGGAGCCAGATAGGAGGGAGGTATGTCTGTACATTAATTGATTCAAAACTGTGGTTCCATAGGCTCCATGTTGAGCATCAGGGGCTCAGTCATCAGCTAAAGAGACATAGTCCCTGCCTTCTTAAAACTTACTGTTCAGTAGGCTACTGGAGGAACCCTAGGATTCACGAGGAGCTTCTTGAAAGAAGGCAAACATGGTGGGCCTTATGAGATTAATTGTGATAGGCTAAAGAGACACGCTAGGAGTGAGCTATCTGGAAGAATCTTGAGAGTCAATAATGGAACAGGAACTATAAAGCCACAGGGTATGGCTTCTGAGCCCCAGAAGTGTGAGGACCCTCTAGAGGGAACTGGAGTCCACACCTAAGACGTGACCCTGTGACTTCTCGTGATGCAGAACTCAGCCCACACCTGCCTGCCCCTCATTCCACCCCTCCACTTTCAGGTTACAGGCAGTGGGACGCCTCCAAACCGGTTCTGTGGGCAGCAGGGCGCCCTGCTGGGCAGCCCTCCTGGTCAGAGGGAGTTTGTGTCCTCAGGAAGAAGTTTGCAGCTGACCTTCCGCACAGATGCCTCCTCAGAGGACAGGATTCCCCACCTCCACAAGGGCTTCCTGGCCTTCTACCAAGCCATGGGTGAGTGTCCCTCCTGGAGGTGCAGGGAGGACAACCTCTTCCCTCCGCCATGGCCCCTACCCTAACTGTGTAAGGAAGCTTGATGGATGACTGAAGCTGGGAGCTCAGTGATCCCTCTGCTGGACCGCATCCCGGCCCAGCTCTTACCCTGCTGAACAAGGAGCCCCATTTTAAAGGGGCAGCTGCTGCTCAGCTCTAGCAAGTTGATCCCAAACGCCCCAGATACGTCCAGTGTGTACAGATCATCTCATTTTCCAAGAAAAGCCAAAAATCCAGATTTATAAAAGAAATTCTAGATTCTCAAGTGGTGACTCAGATTTTTTTTAAGATAATACATGTACATGATTTAAAATTTTTAAATAAAGACAATATAATAAAAAATAACAGTAAGTCTTTCTCTGATCTCTCACATATAGTCCCCCTGTTACTCTGTCCAAAAATAACCCCATTCTCTATTTCCTGAATATTCTTCCAAAGACATTTTGTGTCATTCAAATATAAATATTGTGTGTGTGTGTTGAGTACTATACACAATATTCTCAACTTGCCATTTTTCACTCAGTGATATATCTTAGAGATCACTCCATATAAATATGGTTAGCATTACCTCATCCTTTTTTAATGACTGTATAATATTCTTTCAATTAACCTGTTATAATGTATTATAATGTATTTAAGAGGAGCTCTAGTTAAGGCTGGCAGTTTAAACCCACCAGCCACTCCTCGGAAGGAAGGTTCGGCAATCTACTTCCATAGTGATATCGTTTCAGAGGGGTCGCTGTGAGTCAGGTCCGACTCCACAGATGCATAAACAACATCAACAACAATGTATTTAATTAGTCACCCACTGGTAGATATTTGTTGCCACAAACAGTGTTGCTGTGGATATCTTTATATATACATCTTTGAGCACATATGTAAGAATAACTTTAGGGTAAATTCTTAGAAATGGAAATACTAGGTTAAAAAAAAAAATGTTAACTTTTTAAATTTTGATATTGCTAAATTATCCTCCAAAGAAGATTTTCATCCCTACTAACCTTGTATGAGCTCTGGTAGCATAGTGCCTGAGGCACTTGACTGCTAACCAGAAGGCTGGCGGTTCAAACCCACCAGCCACTCCTCGGAAGGAAGGTTGGGCAATCTACTTTCGTAGTGATACTGCCTTGGCAACCCAAGGAGGGGTCACTATGAGTCGGGTCTGACTCGACGGCACATAACAACAACAACAACCTTGTATGAAGGTACCTGTTTCCTCATATCCTATTTATCTGTTAATTTCTAGTTTTTTGAGCCTTGACAATCTGACCAATGAAAAACAATTAAAATGTTTTTTAAGAAAACACTGTTACAGGCCAAGCTAATTATGGTTGTGGGCCAGAATCAGCCCCTGAGTTACCAGTTTGCAACTCTGTCCTAGGTCCTAATGACTACTGTTTTCCTATAGTTGTGGATGATAGTCGGCCCATCAGCCAGGCCAATGGGAGCTCCACGGCCATCAGCACACCTGGAGACAACTCCTCCAAGACCCAGAGCCATTGCCAAGAGCTATATTATCAGGCAGTGCCAGCAGGTGAGTCCCCACCCACTGAGGTACCCGCTCCCATGTGTCACACACCAAAAGTCCTTAGGTCCTGTGGAAACCTAACATTTCCCAACTCGGAACCTTTCTGTTTTGCCTCTCCTCATTTCACTGCTCAGGGACACTCACCTGCACAATCCAGGGCACCTGGGAGGACAGACAGAACAGGGAGGAGGCTTCTCAGTGTGTGCCTGGTGAGTAGTGGCCTACTGAACGCTGTCCTTACGGCCATTTCCCAAACAAGCCTTGGCTGTAGCTGACACCTGTGGGAATGGGGCAGGAAACAAGCAAATGGGGTTAGAGGAAAGCCTTGGGATAGAAAGTTGAGATATAGGCAAACAGTAAGAAAGAAAAGAGCAATCAAGAAGGCCCCAAAGAGAGTCAAACAGCTTTTTTCTTATTTTTGAAAGGTCAAGAGACATCTGAAAAAGTTAAAGGATGAAGTTAATTAGATGCAAAAGTGGAGGAAGGACAGAAGAGTTAAAATGAGAGAAAAGTCTTTTTGTATGGTCTGCTTTAAAGTTATATAGACAGGCTTTCTGCTCCCAAAATATCTCCCTACCTAGATGCCACAATGCCAGAAAGTTCCTTTAAGAAATTATTTTTAAAAATTGATAAAATGCATATAACAAAATCCATCATTTTAACTATTTCAAAGTATACATTTAGTGTTTTTAGGGTATTCACAGTGTTGTGCAACTATCACCACTATCTAATTCCAGAACATTTCCATCACCCCAAAAAGAGATCCTATACTTCCAATTTCCCCCTCCTCCATACCCTGGCAACCTGTCTCTATGGATTTGCCTATTCTAGACATTTCATATAAATAGAATCATGCAATATTTGTCTGTTTTTGACTGGCTTCTTTTACTTAGCACAATGTTTTCAGGGTTCATCTATATTGTGGTATGTATCAGTACTTCATTCTTTTTTATGGCTGAATAATATTCCATTGGACCGATCTATCACATTTTGTTTATCCATTGATCAGTTGATGGACATTTGGTTGTTTCCACTTTTTAGCCATTATGAATAATGATGCTTTAAACATTTTCTTATATACCTAGGAAGGTCCTTATGGGGTGCAAACAGTTTATATTCAACTACTAACCAAAAGGTTGGCAGTTCTAATCCACCCAGGAGCAGCTCAGAACAAAGACCTGATGATCTGCTTCCAAAAGCTCACAACTATTGAAAATCCTATGGAGAATAGTTCTACTCTGACGAACATGGGTCACAATGAGTCAAACCCACCCAACAGCAAAAGGTTTGGGTTTTTTATATACCTAGGAGTGGAGTTGTTGGGTTTACGGTAACTCTTAAGTTTGACTTCTTGAAAAACTGCCAAATTGTTTTCCAAAGTACCTGCATCAATCATTTTACGTTCCCACCAGCGATGCGTGAGGTTCAAGTTCACCATTTTTGAAATCTGTCTTTTAAGTATTGCCTTCCTAACGCAACCTGAACAAATTTCTCAGACTTTACTCCTGATCCACAGAAAGCTCTAGCAGCAGCCTGCAGGCTTGTAGTGCTATGGCAGTGGGTCGGAAGGTGGGTGGTTGTGGAAGATGTTGCAAATGAGGAAATGGCACAGAAAACGGAGACAAGAGGCACTGGAGACAAACACTACCTGGTGCTTGATTTTGCCCAGGGATGATCCCACCTAGTGTCTAAAGATGAGTGAAGAGGCAGGAGGGGGAACCCAGCAGAGCCAGCCCTGAACATGTCTCCATCTGTGCTGTCCACCCCTCAGTTCACTGTCCTGAGTCCTATACAGAACATGTACCCAGTACCATCTGACTTGATTTGCTGCTCATGCCTCCATTTGGCCCACACCTGTGAATCTACATCAGGATGTAGGATCCTTCTGATCAGTGCAGAGCCATACCTGGGACCTTCCTCATAACAACCTACCCAGATAGCACTTCACAGAAAGAGGTCTTTAATAAATGCATCTTAATGCAGCCACTGACTTTTCACCTTTGCCCCACTTCTCTCTAGTGTGTGGACGGCCAGTCATTCCCATCACCGAGAACCAAGAGGCCTTTGGTTCTTCCAGAGCTCAGTTGGGCAACTTCCCCTGGCAAGCCTTCACCAGTATCTATGGCCGGGGAGGTGGGGCACTGCTGGGTGACAGATGGGTCCTCACCGCTGCCCATACCATCTATCCCAAAGACAGCATCTTCCCCCAGAAGAACCGGAGTGTGAATGTGTTTCTGGGCCACACAAACATAGATGAGATGCTGAAACTGGGAAACCACCATGTCCGCCGCGTTATCGTACACCCAGACTACCGTCAGAATGAGTCCCACAACTTCAATGGAGACATAGCTCTCCTGGAACTCCAGCACAGGGTCTCTCTGGGCCCCCACCTCCTCCCAGTCTGTCTGCCCAACAATGAGACTCTCTACCTCAGTGGACTTTGGGGCTATGTCAGTGGGTTTGGCATGAAGATGGGCTGGTTAACTACTGAGTTGAAATACTCAAGGCTGCCTATATCCAAAAGGGAAGACTGTGAGGCCTGGCTCCGAGAGAGGCAGCGGACTGAGGTGTTTTCTGACAATATGTTCTGTGTAGGGGATAAGATGCAACAGCAGAGTGTATGCCAGGGGGACAGTGGTAGCATCTATGTGGTGTGGGATGATTGTGCCCATCAATGGGTGGCTACAGGCATTGTATCCTGGGGCATCGGGTGTGACAAGGGGTATGGTTTCTACACGAAAGTGCTCAACTATGTGGACTGGATTAAGAGAGTGATGGAGGGGAATGACTGACCCTGAGGTGCCTCAATAGTGACGACCAGTGATCAGCACTATGGAAGCCCTGTAAAGAGAGGGTTGGGAATGGTGATTGTACCCTGCAGGAGTGGAAGAAGTAAAGGTTCCTATTCAAGTTACTGATGCAGCTTTCCACTGTGAGAGCAATTCACTCCTTCTATCAGTCCCACACCATCCAAGAGAGGAGTGGCCCTCCACGGCCCCCTTCTCACCTTCTGGCCTCCTGCACATTTGCACTACCCCAGGGAAACTCTGTACATCTTGACAAGTTTCACTGTTAATGTCTTTTGAACCTTTCCCACTTCATCTCCTGTTTATGCAGCTTCTTCTATACTCATTTATCAATGGGTCACTCACTTGTGCAAAAAGTCACCTTCTCACCTTAAAACTTGTGATGACCCCATGTATGTCACAGCCCTAGGGGATGGCCTCAGGCCTCAGGCAGTCATCTGCCATATGGCACTTGACAGCTAATCAGAAGGCTGACGGTTCAAACCCACCAGCCACTCCTCAGAAGGAAGGTTGGGCAATCTACTTCCGTAGTGATACCACCTCGGAAACCCGAGGAGGGGTCGCTATGAGTCATGGCCGACTCGATGGCACATAACAACAACAACAGCAACAGAGTTTTCAATGTCTGAGTCCCCACCCCACCCCAGAAGATCACTAGGCTTTTCTTCCAAGATGCTTCTGGGTGAACTCAAACTTCCAGCCTTTCAGTTAGCAGCTGAGAGCATTCACTGTTTGCATCTATGTAAGAGTCACCTTCTCACCCTTCCTTCAAGTGGAATGTGGAGAAATTGCATTTCATTTCTGAAATATTCCAAAGCCGCTTTAGTCGACTTTCAAATATTCAAGCTATTGGCTTTATCGCTTACCACATCTTCTAGATGCAAGTATAGTAATAACTCCTGTTTTTATTTTTTCCACATCCTCTATATGCCACTCGGAAGGAAGGTTGGGCAATCCTACTTCCGTAGTGATACTGCCTCGGAAACCCAAGGAGGGGTTGCTATGAGTAGGGGGCCGACTCAACGGCACATAACAACAACAACAACTATATGCCAGGTGCTTCATATATGTTATTTCATTTCGTCCTCACACCAAGCTTGCAAAGGATATGTTACCCACATTTTGCAAATTAAAGAAATTAAAGCTCAGGTAGACAAAGTGACTTGCCCAAGTCCCACAGTTAGTTTGTGCCTGCAAAAGCCATGTTCTTTCTTGTATGCCATGATACTTCTCAGTTGTCCTCAGGACTTACTCTGTCTCCCACTTCCCCACTTCCTCTTCCAATCCCCACATCCTTACAGTCTCCCTCCATGGAATTCCTGCTTCAGTGAAGACAGCAACACCTGTCTCACTCTTTCCTATCAGCCTGTGACAGGAAAACAGCCTGTTTTGTATGTACATCTAGCTGAGCCCAGCACTGGGCAGGGTATTCCCGCAGACACTCTAGTGCTCCTGGACCCACTAGTCTGTGCCCTGACAGTGAACCCCTTGGCTATGTCATCAAGGTGCACTGCTCCACCTGAGGAGAACAACTGTTTAATTTTTGGTGAAGATTTGAAGTGGTTTACAGAAAAAAATTTACACATAAAATACAATCATTCAGTGGAAATAGAAAATGAATATCATAAAAAGATAGGAGAGCAGATTTTGTTAGCCATGAGCATCAAGTTAGCTACTTTGATTATTATCTTCAAAAAATAGCAGAATTCAAAATTGTGCATACATGTGATTACTTCTATTTTTTAAACTTATGCACAGAACAACAAACCAAACCATACACACTGCCATCCAGTCATAGTGACCCAACTCATAGTGACCCCTCCTTGGGTTTCCAAGGTGGTATCACTATGGAAGTAGATTGACCAACCTTCCTTCCGAGAGTGGCTGATGGGTTTGAACTGCCAGCCTTCTGGTTAGCAAATGCCTCAGGCACTATGCCACCAGAGCTCCTGCACAGTATAATAGACTGTAGAACAAAACTCAAAACCTTGAACAGAGGTTGTTTTAGGTAGTATAGTTTTGGCTGCTTTGTTTTTCCCTACTCTTCTTTATCTGACAAACTTGATTTAAAGACCATGTATTATTTTATTATTGAAACTAAAATATATATATATTATGAGCATGTATTGTTTTTGTTAATAATATTTTTATTATTTTATTATTAATATGAGCTTCTCCCTATCGAGGTATATATAGACATATATTTCACAGAGGTAATCTACCATTTTCCTTCCTAGAATCAAATCCGAAGGGGAAAGACCAGTATAACAGACAATGACTTCAGTATCAGTGTTATGCAGGAGCAATCTTTATATGGCTGTTTATTCTTTCAGATCTTGGTCTAAGTCAAGGGCATAACAAAAACAAAGGCATAAAAGTTCTTTTGAGTGGCTGAACAGGGTGGGCTGGGATCTTTTGTCACTTTGCAGCTATCTTACCTGATACCAGAACAGAACTAAGAACTCCTGGGATGGATGCAAGAGCTTCAGCTAAGACTAATCTTCTTGGACCACCATCCCCTTATCTCTGCCATTCTGCCCTGTTCTGTACACACACACACATACACACACATATACGCACACTGCAGCCAGGATGATAATGTACAATTTGCTAGACAAGATTCCTCTTCCTTCTCATCACCTGACTGAAGCTTATATCCTCTCCTCTATCTTTTGTCTTTCATGCCCTGACACGCCAATCATGAATCAGTCCTGCCATCAGATTCGTTTCTCAAGTCTGACACATAAGCCGGCTGGAGAAACCCTTAGTTGAACTTGTGTCTTCCTTGTGCCTGCTGGCTAAGTACATTCAGAGTCACCACTCAGCTTCTTCAACCCTTGCAATCCACTGCCTGAGAGAGTGTCCAGCACACAGTAGGTTACCAGTAAATGGATGAATGGGTGGTTGGACAGGTGGGTGGATGAATGCATGGATCTCAGAGGCCTGCTCTGAAGCCTGAACCTCCCTATGGGGTAAAATGCCATAAGATACTTGGAGTCAGGAAGAGTTGATTAAGAAAGGCCTACAGAAAGAGGAAGTTACAAAACAGGGCCCTGTGGCCTAGTAGACAGAGGGGCAAGGGCCCCTACTACCTCCTAGGGGCTTGGTTTTCTCTCAGAAAAGCTGAGTCCAGAAAGAAGCAAGCCTTTGCCCTAGGCAATAGCAGCCCTTGGTAGCTCAAATTCTGAACCAGATGCTGAGGTAAAGAGGATGTTTCTTAGAGAAGAAACTCTTGCTTCTCTAAGAGTCAAGCCAGCAAGCCTGAGTTCACTGAGGTGGGAGGGAGGGTCTCAAAACAAACCTCAAAACAGACTGTTCAAGGGTTGCCTAGACGTGGGAATCCCTGCTCTATGTCTAAGTGTCGTTCAAGAGTAAAGTGGGCCACAAAAGACAGGTGTGTGAGCTGAACATTTACATTAGGTAGATACACTCCTTAGAGAGATCAATCATGGGAGAATAGAAGGGCAGTGTATGCACAGGGAGACAGCTTGTGGGGCAGGAGTGCATGGGAGGGAAGGACACAGGGAAGAGGTGGCTATGGGGAGGAAGTGGGAGGAGAGCTGGTGCATTGTGGGAAGTTGCAATCAACGTCTTGAGACAAAGTGTATGTGAACGGCTGTATAGAAGATGAATTTGCTCTGTAAACTTTCACCCAAATCACAATAAAATTTGGGGAAAAAAAAAAAGATTATATAGGAACCTGGGAGGGGGGCAGTGAGTTTATGTTAATGAGGGAGGAACAACCCAGAAAAGGAGGGTGAAAATGGTTGCACAACTAGAAGAATATAATCAATGTCATTGAATTGTACCTGTACAAACAGTTGAATTGGTGTTTTTCTGTGTCTAGTTTCAACAACAAAATAAATATTTAAAAAACTGTCCTTCCTCCCACTGCTACAATTACGTTTCATATCCAGTTGTACTGTTAGACTATGTGACAAAACCCTCCACCATGGTATTTTCTCATCATAAAAGGGGAAGTCAGAAAATAAGGAGAAAAGAAAAAAAAAACCTTTCACTGTACATAAATTACATTTCAATAAAATGTATTTTAAAAAAAAAGAGTAAAGTGGGTCAGTGCAGCTAAAGTCCATTCTCTTCTGTCCACCCTCAAGCTACATTCCCCAACCATATTGTTCCTGTCATCTCATCCTGGACACTGAAACCCTGGCCATTCCCAGACCAGGGACGCTGGGTGACTGCAGACAGGAAGAACAGAGTAAGTGGAAAAGGGCATAGTCATTTCATCCCTCTCAACCTGTGATATCCCATTGCCCTTTGGGTAGAATCTGATAAACACAGCATCAGTCCCTAGGAAAGTTCCTGAGAAAAGGGTAAATTCAGATCTGGGTGTAGAAACCAGGAAGTCTGGACCTTCAACCAAAGGCTTCCTTGCCCCTAAAAGTTCAGACCCATCTCTTTAGACCTTCTCCAAGTAAGCCAGCAGGTGGCACCACCAACAGGGATTTCAAAACCAAAACTAAATTAAAGTGGAAACTCAGATTTTTTTGTTTATGCAAATAGTTCATTCCCTGCCACATTCCTCCGGGAATGGTCCCCCCTCCCTCCTCCAATCACTCCCTCCCTCTTCTCTCCTCTGCATGACGGCTCTCTCCCTCAACACAGAGCACATGAAGACGCTGTCAGGAGAGGAGAGAATCCAAGCACAGGCCTAGAGAAATGTGAGTAAGACTGATGGGGAACCAAGTTGGGAGTGAGAGGCCAGCGGGGAGGGTCCTGAGCACAGGAGGCCACCTTGCTTCCAAATTTTGGCTCAGGAAGATAGGACCACCTTTCCCCTCCCCATGTACCATATCTGTTCCAAGGGGCGTACAGGTGCTGACACATAAACATAAACCTCTATATCATCTCCTCAGGACTAAAGGAGACCTTAGACACATGAGAGATGAACACATTCCCTGTCTACCTCCTGCTCATAGCAGAGGAGCAGCAAGTCAAGGAGGAGTATCCTCTATGCATGTTTCCTACACTCTGCAAGTGGTTTCTCCCAGAGGTCTTTGCTGAGACTTTGGGAGACCTCTAAAAGAGCCATGACTGTAAACCCTCACCCTCAATTAAATTGGTCCCAAGCCAGTCTTATTCCAGGAAAGGCCCACATCTGGGAGGGGAGGGGAGTGATGATACAGGGGAGGGGATGGGGAGTGAAGCAAAGGGAATGTGCTGACCTCTGGAGTGGACTCTACCCTGTGGAAGAACACCCAATGCTGCAAGTTACAGAGACTGGCCTCCCCTCCACCTGCCCCTGCCTGGAATATCTCTGTAAGGTCTAGAAAGGGCAGAGAGGAAAATGCTGAATGTTAAGACCATCCTTTCCCCTGGCCTAGCCACCCTCCAGGTGAGGGTGCTTTACCCCTCCACTCCTACAAACACCCTCTTTCTTTTTGGCAGGTGGCTCCCTTACCTCCTGGTGGTTATCTTGTTCTACAGTGTGGGAGGTTCCATCCCTCTCCCTCCGAAACTCTTTGGGGAGGTGACTTCCCCTCTGTACCCCAAGCCTTACCCCAACAACTTTGAGACAACCACGGTGATCACGGTCCCCCAAGGATACAGGGTGAAGCTTGTCTTCTGGCACTTTGACCTGGAGCCTTCTGAAGGCTGTTTCTATGACTATGTCAAGGTAGGGGGTCAAGTTGCTGGAGCAGAGGGGAGATTAAGATGTGTGACTGTGGTGTACAAGGTCTGTGCTCTTACAGCTCTGTACAGACCTTCCCACCCCTGACAAGTCCCAGTCTGGTAAGAGCTGGTGGCCCAGCAGAGGTCTAGTTTGGGGGATGTCATGGATGGAATATCCACTGCTTTTAGACCACAGAGGAGGACGGTACAGACCCACACTCAGGAGACAGAAAAACCTTCCCCACCTGCTGACTTGCTGGGAAAACATTGTGCCTCATTTTTCCATGGAGAACTTCACCATGGCTGTCTGCTTCAAAAGGAATATGGGGAAGAGAAATGTATGTGGTGGCAGCTTGAGCATAGCCCTCATCAAGGACAGTGGGTTCAGTCCCTTCACCTCTATAACAACCAAGAGTTCCTTCCTAGTCCTATCTTTCTGCATCCAACAAAAATGAGATTCCAAATTCAAGATTTGAGTAGAGCCTACAACTATTCAATAAATACCATTCTCTGGAGACCTTTCAGGAGGTTATGAGAGAGTAACATGAAAATGGCACATCTTCCTAGCCCAGAAGATTTGGAAAATTTGTTGGGTCATTACTGTTGTTGTTGTTTTGTCTGAGGGGTAAGCTCTTGGTAGTAGGAGTAGTGAGGAGTAGGGTGGGATGAGAAAATCTCTTCTGCTTTTGAGGGATTGAGGTATCTGTGGGGTAAAAAGTTCATAGATGCTAGAGGATGCTTGCTGATGCTAAGGCTGATGGGTCCCAAAGGTCACCCTTAGCTGAACATATGAGGACAGAGGCTTGGCATGAATAGTTTGAATAAGGTGAAATGAAGTAAGAAGGTAGAAAATATAGCAGACCAACACAGGCACAAAGAAGGAATATGATAATGGGAGGTGGTGGAAATGAAGGAATGTTTGAAATGTGTTTACTCCAAAACATAAAACTCCAAATTCACTGTCATCAAGTCAATTTGACTTATAGCCACCCCTCCTTGGGTTTCCAAGGCTGTATCTCTATGGAAATAGATTGCCCAATCTTCCTTCCAAGGACTGGCTGGTGGGTTTGAACTGCCAGCCTTGTGGTTAGCAGTCAAATGCCTTAGGCACTATACCACCAGCCAGCTCCTGAAATGTGTTTGTGTGTGTGTGTGTGTGTGCTGCCATGAAGTCAGACCCAACTCATAGCGACCCCTCCTTGGGTTTCTGAGGCATTATCACTACGGAAGTAGATTGCCCAACCTTCCTTCCAAGGAGTGGCTGGTGGGTTTGAAAAAGGGAGGGGTCCCATACCAGGCATAGAATAACATACAGAGTTAGTTAGTGGGAGACTCAGGTGAACAGATGAAAATCACCTGGGGAAATTTGCAACTGGCAGAGTGCAGCAGATAGTGACAAGCTGTGATGCATGATTCACTCTTGAGGACCAGACATAAGGGATCTTCATCAACCTTCCACTGAGACCTTTCTCCTCAACAGCTCTTCTTTCTCCCCTTCATCCTTCCTCCACCAGATCTCCGCTGACAAGAAAAGCCTGGGGAGGCTCTGTGGGCAACTGGGTTCCCCACTGGGCAATCCCCCTGGGAAGAAGGAATTTATATCCCAAGGGAACAAGATGTTGTTGACTTTCCACACGGATTTCTCCAACGAGGAGAATGGGACCATTATGTTCTACAAGGGCTTTCTAGCCTATTACCAAGCTGTGGGTGAGTGGTCTGGAAGCAGCTCTTTCTGGCTTTAGTCATACTGAATGGGGGTCAGTAAAAGAGAATTCTTAAATCCAAAGAAGCCGTAAGCCTGGCTTTCCTTGTTTCTTCCCTCAAGAGACCTTCGTCCAGAAGAGGCCTGCTAACTTGGGCTCTATCCCCATTGGGTAGTTCCCAGAAGTCCAGGTGGCCAGGAACTGACTTTGTTTAGGCCTCTGGCGATTGACACCCCTGAGACCAGAGCCACCACAGAACTCCTCTGACAGAAATTTAGCCTTTCCTTCCTGAATTTTTTCCAGATCTTGATGAATGTGCTTCCCAGCTAGACTCTGTATCAGAGGATCCCCAGCCCCGGTGCCAGCACCTGTGCCACAACTATGTCGGTGGCTACTTCTGTTCCTGCCGTCCAGGCTATGAGCTTCTGACAGATGGACATTCCTGCCAGGGTGAGGGCGGGTGGATGTGGGAGGGAGGCAGGAACTGAGCAAGGGCTTGCTGGACCAGGTGGAGAGCCTACCCGTGACACCTGTTCGGTTCTGCTCTCTTAGCCGAGTGTAGCAGTGATCTGTACACAGAGCCATCAGGCTACATCTCCAGCCTGGAGTACCCCCGGCCCTACCCCTCTTACCTGCGTTGCAACTATAGCATTCGAGTAGAGAGGGGCCTCACCCTCCACCTTAAGTTCCTGGAGCCCTTCGAAATTGATGACCACCAGCAAGTAAAATGCCCATATGACCAGCTGCAGGTACATCTTACCTCCTGAAAAACCTTTTCCTCTTCTTCCCATCCTCACTTGGGTCCTCTCTTGTCTACTTCCTCCTGTACCCTCAGGCCAATCAGGGACAGGAAGGAACAACACATGGGCTGGGCACGTTCCCACCCAACTGGAAGTGGGTCCTGGGAATTCCCTTCCCCCTTAAACTAAAAACATACACAAAGCAGGATTCCTACTACTCGGCCACTAGATGAATACCCAGTTGGCCCTGTGGGAATATGTCCAAGTTGGAGCAGTGACCCTCCTTCTTCTCCCCTAGATCTATGCCAATGGGAAAAACATTGGCGAGTTCTGTGGCACTCAGAGGCCCCCTGACCTTGACACCAGCAGCAATGCCGTAGATCTGTTGTTCTTCACAGACGATTCAGGGGATAGCCGAGGCTGGAAGCTGCACTACACCACTGAAAGTAAGGTTGACTAGAGGCCTCCCTTGCCAGCCAGCAATGGGGCAGTGTCAGGTGGAGAGAAGCAAGGACAAGTGGCTCTAAGATAAGCATTCCCTCTGATCTCCTCAACAGCCATCAAGTGCCCCCAGCCCAAGACACTAGACGAGTTCACCATCATCCAGAACCTGCAGCCTAAATACCAGTTCCGTGACTACTTCATTGCCAGTTGCAAGCAAGGCTACCAGCTCATGGAGGTGAGGGCCCAGGGATGGGGAGAGAGAACGAGCCTTGTATCAGATAAATTATTCAGATGAGGAGGATCACAGGTGCCTTAGGCTCAACCTCAACTGGAATCATAGATGTTTGAGCTCAAAAGGTCATTGCATATTGGACACTCCTTAAGGAGTTTAAAAAATACTGAGGTCTGGATCTCTTGCTAGAGTTTCTGACCCCATTGGTCTAAAGTGTATCCAGGGTATTAGGATTATTTAAAGCTCTCCAGGTTATTCTACTCAACTAAGATCAAGAACTACTGGGCTAGTCCAATAACTCATTTTAGAATTAGGAACTGAAAAGGTGGGGATGGAGGCAAAGGCAAGAGTGACATATTCAACATCACAGTGATTTTGCTGTAGTGCAGGGACCAAATCCCCTGCCCCTTGCCCCAGGACTCTTTTATGCACATTGTTGTTGTTGTTATGTGCCGAGTCAAACCAACTCATTAGTAGTCTCATTTCAGACCACCATCCTGTCCTCAGTTTTTCAGACTCAGGAAGGAACTCAAGTATATCATTTGGTCAGTCCCACAAAGACTGGGAACTAACTAGAATGCTATTTTTAAAAGCATACAATTTGAGTTATCCCTGGCCAGGGATCCAAGACTATACATCTTCTCCTTGTTTAATAGATCTGCCTGGAAGACTGATCAGAATCAGAGTATAGACTTATGGTATGTCTTTGAGCAGTAGTGTATTCATTTAAGTGTTTACTAAATGCCATGCAGTATTCTAGATGCTGGAGATAAAGTATTGAAAAAAAACCCACATATGTTCACATAGTCTTATGGAGCTGACATTTGAATATCTCATCAAGTCTGGTGAGTTAGCTTGGTGAATTGCTCCTTACTCCAGCATGCTTCCAGCCACATCATGAGGACCAGGTGTCCTGTGCCCAACAAACTGAAGACTAACAAAGTCTTTTCTCCCTATCCTATGCCACCACACCCTTACCTTTGCATTTGTTATTCATGTATATAACTGAAGCAAGTCACATAGTTTACCTCATATTATTTACATTTGCTCAGACATTCTAGTTGTCATACACATTCTCTTGCAATCTTCTCCAATACTTATTTTCTGGAATGATTTTTGGTCTTAATAAAAACTCATTCATATTGTCCAATTACTTTTCATTTCAGAGGGTGCCATTTTCTTGCCCTGTCCCTGCTATCTATTTGACTAAAATAGCACTCAGCCCACATCATCATTTTAAGCATCCTTGGAAAGGGCTGAGAAGCACTAGTATTTTAGGAAAGGTCTGTGTCCTTAAGGAAACATGTAGTGATACAGGCCTAGACTGGCAGGACATTTCCAAGGAAAGATATATGATTCTGCTTCAGAGAAGGGTCTTTTGCTTCAATATAGAACATGCACAACCTGTCTTGGTTTGTGGGTTTTTTTAGTTACAAATTGTGGTATTCAATTGGACATTTGTGGGAACAGGTAAAAGACTAGAGAGAAGATTATTGGATATAACAATTAGCTCTTACTCAGTGTGTGACTCAGTGCTCCCATCTGTAACCGATTGGAGAGGGCTGGCTGGGGAGAAGGAAGAAAGACATAACCAGGGGGCAACTGAGGTCTGAGAGTTTGTGGGTTGCCTTTGCTTTCCCTACTGTTACTGTGTGAGTAAAGATAGGAATGGGGTCACAGTACTTCTTTTTCTAATGATGCCTCTACCTCTGCTCAAACAGGGGAAACAAGCGCTACTGTCCTTCACAGCTGTTTGCCAAGATGATGGCACATGGCATCGGGCCATGCCCAAGTGCAAAAGTAAGTTACAACTCAGGGATGCGTCTGCCCCTGAAAACCTCCCAATTCAGCCTTAGGGATCTAGGCTGAGAAAGGAAGATGAAAACCCAGTATGAGCCTCTCCCCAAGAGATATCCTCCCATTTGTCTTTCAAAGCTTATGGCCAATCTCAGGAACAAGTAAGTCTTCATCTTGGCAGTATTTATGGGCTCTCCTACCCAGAACTAAATCTCACTATATCCAATTCCTGTCCATCTCAAGTGCCCTCCTCACTGACCATATTTCTCTAAGATTCTCAGCCTATAATCTATTCTGTGGACAGATAAATCACATCCCCCCTGCGGTTCCAATACAGTCACATCCACTCTCAAACAACTTTGTGTTCTCTCAAAGTCAAGGATTGTGGGCAGCCTCGAAGCCTGTCTAATGGGTACTTCAACTACATCACCAAAAAGGGAGTCAATACCTACCAGGCTCATATCCAGTACTACTGCAATGAACCGTATTACAAGATGCAGACCAGAGCTGAAAGTGATGAGTCCAAACGAGGTAAGAGCCATTGAAAACAACAGTCTTCCCTCTTCTTGAAACATCCTCTGAGATTCCTTCTCAAGTCCTTATCCCTAGGAGATGTGTATTAGGGTATTTGGCCAGGGCACTGGCTTAAGGGCCTAAATTACAATTCCAGGAAGCATCTAATAGTGGTGAAGAAGGAGGCACTTGAGTGGATACAAAGAAGAATCTGAATCTCATAGTCAGTTTCTAATTACCATTACTACCAACACTACCACTATCACCAATACCACCAACACAACAACTACCATCACTACCACTACCACTGTTACCATCATTATCACTGCTATCACCATAACCATCCCACCACCAACACCAACACTAATAACATCATCATCATCACTATCACCAGTAGCAGCACAATCACCACCATCACTGCTACCATCCTCACCACCACTGCCATACCACTTTCACAACCACCACAACTATGTCAATGAGCCTGCCAACACCATTCTCAGGCATTGTGTTGTAATTTCTTCCATTTAGGTTTACTAATTTATCCTTGGGAGCTCTGGTAGCATAGTGGCTAAGACACTTGCCTGCTAACCAGACAGCTGGCGGTTCAAACCCACCAGCCACTCCTCGGGAGGAAGGTTGGGCAATCCTACTTCCGTAGTGATACTGCCTCGGAAACCCAAGGAGGGGTCGCTATGAGTCGGGTTTGACTTGACGGCACATAACAACAACAACAACAACAACAATTTATCCTCAAACTCATCAATGGATATCTTTAAAATCTTTTTTTCAAAAAATAAATCACAGCCATTGTACATTTAGAACAAATGAAAAAGGAAAAATATCTGGGTTATATATAGTATTAGTTCAGAGCTAGGCTTTGGACTTAGACAACCCTCTTGGCTCTGGCATGATTTGTGAGAATTATTTAAGCTACATTTCTTCATCTATAAAATGACATACCTCAAAATGTCACTGTGGATATTAAATGAGACCATGCAGATAAAGTGCTTAGCAGCAAGTATGACATATGGTCAACAATCAGAAAATGTTAGCTACTATTATTATCTATAATCTCACTATCAAAATGCAAGTACTAATAAAATTTTGACATGTTCCTTCCAGTTTTTATGTCTACTTGCACAATTAGGGATCACATCAGATATATATTTATGCTTTGGTGAAGGGAACAAAATATATTTTAAAATTATATAATATATGTATTTTATTATTCATAAATATGCATGGAGCTTCTTAACATTTTCAATAGTCCATCCTTGTGTATTTGTACAGTTCCCCTTTGATCTTTGTCCATGTCACTTCCTTATCTCCCCTCTCCCCATACAATGCATTCAGTGCTGTACACTGAGTTTTCTTATCCATCACCTCTCTGCTCAATCATGTCCTCCTCACCCCTCAGGGATGTATACCTGCACAGCCCAGGGCATTTGGAAGAATGAACATGAAGGAGAGAAAATTCCTCTGTGTTTGCCAGGTGAATGGGAAATTCCTGGGGCCATCTTCAGTGTCTTTTGCAGCCCAACATGGTCTCAGAAGAGATATGGCACAGAGAATGGAGACAGAGGAAGGAGAAAAAGTCAAAGATAGAAACGTGGAGTAAGGAAAAGAGAGAAGAGAAAGTCCCAGGAGAAAGGGAGAGAAGGCACAGAGAACTGGGCTCAATCCTGATGTTCCAGTATTCTCACTAAGCAAACAGGAAGTCTGGGTTGCTTTTTTTTTTCCCCCCCTAAAAATGTGAAGAAAAACATAGGCAAGAATAAACAAGAACAAGAGAAGAGGTTGACAACAGGCCAAATAAGAAAGTGTGGGAATGGGAGGAGAAAAGAGAGGGCCAAGGCCAAGAAAGGATGAGAGGGAAACAGAATAACCAGAGAGATGAGGTGGGCAGCACCTGGAGCTAACTTGTTCTTCCCTCTCCTGTCTCTCTTCTCCAGTGTGTGGGAAACCAGTCAACCCTGTGGAACAGAGGCAGCGCATCATTGGAGGGCAAAAGGCCCAGATGGGCAACTTCCCCTGGCAGGCGTTCACCTACATCTATGGGCGAGGGGGTGGAGCCCTGCTGGGCGACCGCTGGATCCTCACAGCTGCCCATACCCTCTACCCCAAGGAACACGAAGCACAAAGCAATGCCACTGTGGATGTGTTCTTGGGCCACACAAATGTGGAAGAGATCACCAAACTGGGAAACTACCCTATCCGCAGGGTCAGCATCCACCCAGACTACCGTCAGGATGAATCCAACAATTTTGAGGGGGACATTGCCCTGCTGGAGCTAGAAAATAGTGTCACACTGGGTCCCAACCTCCTCCCCATCTGCCTGCCTGACAATGAGACCTTATATGATGAAGGCCGCATGGGCTATGTCAGTGGCTTTGGGATAACAGAGGAGAAGATTGCTTCTCACCTCAGGTTTGTCAGTCTGCCTGTAGCTAAGCGAGAGGCCTGTGAAAACTGGCTTCAGAAAAAGAAGAGGAATGATGTGTTTTCTCAAAGCATGTTCTGTGCTGGGGACCCTAGTCTAAAGCAGGATTCCTGCCAGGGGGACAGCGGTGGGGTCTTTGCAGTGAGGGATACAAACAGTGATCGCTGGGTAGCTACAGGCATCGTATCCTGGGGCATTGGGTGCAGCAAGGGGTATGGCTTCTACACCAAGTTACTCAACTATGTGGACTGGATCAAAAAAGAAATGGAAGAAGAGGGCTGAGCCCAGGCTTCACTAGGTCAGAATCCAGAGGGCAGTGTGTGAAAAAGAATGATCCAACCGGTTGTTGATAACCACTAAGAATACATTAAAATCATTGATGCAGAATACACTCTGTGAAATATATTCTCTTTTCTAGAATCTCATTCACATCCTTCACCTAAAACAACTCAAACGGCACCTTTCCTCCCTCCAAGGACACATTTTCACAATCCTTAATGATCATTTTCCTCTTCTATTTTTATACTATTGGGGGTGGTTGAACAAAACTTTTTCCAAATAAATATTTATGAAAAACTCCAGTATGCTAAATGAATAAACCAGTTTACTAGTTGCCATCAAGCCAATTCTGACCCATGGTGACCCTATGGGTGCCTGAGTAGAATTGTGCTCTGTAGGATTTTCAATGGCTGACTTTCAGGAAGTAGATTTTCAGTTCTTTCTTCCAAGGCATCTCTGGGTATACTCAAACCACCAACCTTTTAGTTTGCAGCCAAGTATTTAACCATTTTTACTGCCCAGGGACTGACTCCAAGCCAGTATAAGAGGTATTTAATAAATATGAAAATATTTAATATAATAAGGTCATATTTACATATTTGCTTAGGGTGACAATGAGAGTAACTAAGTTTATACACACATTTACAATTAGGGTTATGAATAACAATTCATTTCAGTATTTTGTTTTGATTGTACAATAAAGAAAATCCTGATTTTCTCATGTACATACTTGTAAATATAATAGCTGTTTTATTTTTAACCACTCACCTTTCAAACTCTAAATATTCCTTAAGAGTCGAGTGTTATGAAATTTTTGTTTCCAAGTTGAATCTCTAAGAATATTTTTAAGTAACTTGTATTTCTTAACATACATTAAAGGGTCAGAGAAAGTCCCAAACTTTGAAATAAGCACTACAAATGTTTATAACAGAATATTTCCAAGATGTTATTGCACAACTGACTATTCTGGTCTTGTGAAAACAAATTTATATGAGTCAACATGCACAGATTTGAATGCACAGGTCTGAATGTAAGAAGACCACTACAGAATTAGGAGCTCTGGTGGCTTAGTGCCTAAGTCATTTGACTGGTGGCTCAAACTCACCAGCCACTCCTCAGAAGTAAGACTGGGCAATCTACTTCCGTAGAGATACTGCCTTGGAAACCTAAACAGGTGTCGCTATGAGTTAGAAACTTTTTTTTTTTAGTACAGAATTAAAACTTTTCCAAGTAATCAAAACAACAGTAAAATATCATCTCACCCCAGCAATAATAGCAAAGTTAAAAAAAAAATAGTTAACAACAAATGCTGGCAAGGGTGTGAAAGATTGAAACACTTACACATTATTGGTGGGGTAGTAAAATGTACAACCACTGTGGAAAACAGTATGGTGCTTCCTTAAAAAGTTGGAAATAGAAATACCACATGATTCAGCAATCCCACTACTAGGTATATATCAAAAAACCAAACTCACTACCTTTGAGTCAATTCCGAGGTATAGTGACCTCCATTGGGTTTCCAAATCTTTACAGAAGCAGACTGCTTCATCTTCTGTGGAGTGGCTGGTGGGTTCAAACCACCAACCTTTTGGTTAGCAGCCAAATCCTTAACCACTACACCATTAGAGTTCCTTATTAGGTATATATCCTAGAGAAATAAAAGCCATGACACAAACAGATATATGCACACCCATGTTCATTGCAGCATTATTCATAATAGCAAAAAAGTGAAAACAATCTAAATGCCCATCAGCTGATGAATGGATCAATAAACATACACACAATTGAATACTATGCAACATTAAAGAATAATGACATAAAAGAATAATGACCAATCTGAAAATCACCTCATAATATGGAGAACCTGGAGGACACCTGTGAAATAATTCAACCACAAAACAACAAATATTGTATGAGACCACTATTATGAAAAGTCAAGAAAAGTCTCATACACAGAAAGAAACATCCCTTGCTAGTTACCAGGGATGAGATGAAGAGGAAGGAAAATCATTAACTAGAGAGTAGACATGCATTAACTTGAGTGAAAGGAAAAGTAATATACAATAAGGGAGAACTGGTACAATATGACCAAGACAAACGAGACACTGAGAGGTGCACAAGATAACAAAGGTGAATACTATTATATACACAATCCTACATTAACAGTAATAACAAACAACAATCTATGAATGGATATGTAGGCAGACATATAAGCTGAACAGGAATGGGAAGGCAAATGGGACTGTACTCATGAGCATATATAGGTTTGGCAGAGAATATTTCTACATACATATTTGTATGTGTAGATGATATAATGTTACTTGCTGAAAGAGAGAAGGACTTGAAGCACTTACTGATGAAGATCAAAGACTACAGCTTTCAGTATGGATTACACCTCAACATAAAGAAAACAAAAATCCTCACAACTGAAACAATAAACAATGGAAAAAAATAAAAATAAATAAAATAAATAAAAATGGAAAAAAGATTGAAGTTGTCGAAGATTTCATTTTACTTGGATCCACAATCAATGCCCATGGAAGCAGCAGTCAAGAAATCAAATGACATATTGCATTGGGCAAATCTGCTGCAAAAGACCTCTTTAAAGTGTTAAAAAGTAAAGACGTCACTCTAAAGACTAAGGTGTACCTGACCAAAGCCTTTGTCTTTTCAACAGCCTCATATGCATGTGGAAACTGGACAATGAGTAAGGAAGAACACAGAATTGATGCATTTAAATTGTGGTATTCGAGAAGAATATGGAATGTACCATGGCCTGCTAAAAGAACAAACAAATCTGTCTTGAAGGAAGTTCAACAGGAATGTTCTTTAGAAGCAAGGATGGTGAGATTTCACCTCTCATACTTTGGACATGTTATCAAGATGAACCAGTCTCTGGAGAAGGCCATCATGCTTGGTAAAGTAGATGGTCAGTGGGAAAAAGGAAGATCCTCAACATGACAGATTGACATGGTGGCTGAAACAATGGGCTCAAGCACAGCAATGATTGTGGGGAATGGCATGGGATCAGGCAGTGTTTTATTCTGTTGTACATGAGGTCACCATGAGACAAGGTTGACCTGACAGCACCTAACAACATTTGTATGTGATGTAAATATATCCATGTATATAGTAGAACAAAGAGGGGGCAAAGTTATGAAAACTTCTTAGCCATAGCCAAACACTTTAAAGGAATGAGTCACTGGGCTTGGGGGCTTAGGACTACAGTCTTGAGGGATATCTAGGTCAATTGGCATAACATAGTTCACAAAGACCATGTTCTACATCCTACTTTGATGAGTAGCAGCTGGGGTCTTCAAGGGTAGCAAGCAGCCATCTAAGATGCAACTGTTGGTGTCTCCCCATCCAGAGTAAAGAAGAGTGAAGAAAATCAAAGGCTCAGGAAAACAATTAGTCCTAAGGATTAAAGGACCACATGAATCACAGCCTCTGCTACCTGGAGACCAGAAGAACTAGATGGTGCCTGGCTACCACTACCCACTTCTCTGATCAAAACAAGAGAAGTCCTGGATAGAATGGGAGAGAAATATAGAACAAAACGCAAAAGCATAAAAAAGACCAGACTTACTGGTCTGATAGAGTAGAACCCCCGAGACTGTGGCCTTTAGACACTCTTCAAACCTGGAACTCAATGAACCCACCCTCAGGGATCACCTTTCAGCCAAACAACAGACAGGCCCGTAAAGTAAACAATAACTGCCCACTGCCGTGGAGTCGGATCCAACTCATAGTGACTCCTTTTTAGGTTTCCAAAGCGGCATCACTACAGAAGTAGATTGCCCAACCTTCCTTGCGAGAAATGGCTGGTTAGCAGTTAAATGCTTTAGGCACTACGCCACCAGAGCTCCTAAAGTAAACAATACTCATGAAAAATGTACTTCTCAGAACAATTAACCATACAAGACCAAGAGGGCAGCATTTGTTCCAAAACAAATCTCAGAAGGCAAGAAGGAGCAGGAAAGAAGGAGAAAGGGATATGGGGAATCCAGGAAGGAACTGGGAAGAATGCTGTTACATTGAGGGAATTGTAACTAATATTACAGAACAAAACGTGTACGAATTGCTGAATGAAAAACTAATTTGCTCTGTAAACTTTCACTCAAACCACAATAAAGAAAAAGAAGAAAAAAAAAACCTTCCCAAGTTTGTAAGTCTAAATGCAGGTCCACAATCCCTTATTGGAAATTCTGAGGGCCAAGTACCTTTTAATACTCAAGATTTTTATAGATTTTAGAAACATAATATACTATTATGTCATGTCATTCCTCTGTAATAAAGCAGATTAATAATTCTTCAGAAAATCATTTGAATGTTCACAGTGAGATAAATAAAAGACTGAACAGTTGCCCATCAGTTCAAGTCAAATTTGGCCACTAACTACATTTTGATGCAAAACTTACATAAACACTTTCAGCTTTTAGAGCAATTTGGAGTTATGGATTTGGGATCTGTATATGCAGTGTCTTAGTTCTCTAGTGCTGCTATAATAGAAATACCACTAATGGATGGCTTCAACAAATAGGAATTTATTCTTTTACAGTTGAGGAGGCTAGAAGTCTCAATTCAGGATGCTGGCTCTAGGGCCTGGGTGAAGGCCCCTCAACATTGGGCTTCAGCTCTACCTCTTGTTCCAGGCCTAATGGGGCTGGAGGCATCTTGTAACTCACACAGCCGCTGGCTGCTGAGGCTGAATCCAAGGTCAGCAGGTAAAATGGCACAACCCCAAGATTGGCAGACAACACAGCAGGCCACTGGTTCAAGTTCAGGAACTGGAGATGAAGACTCAACCGAATATAGGATACAAATGTGCCAAAAAGGTAGAGACCTTTCCCTAAGCTTTTCCATATATGCTGGAAGCAGGCCAGACCCTGAAGGTAACTCTCCTTCAACTACTTAGCAGTTCATAGCAGATTCCACCATGGAAGTGATTACAGTCTCTTTAAGGAGAATAACCACATCCAGCTGCCAAGCCACTCAAAACC